ATTATAAATTTTAAATAAATAAAAAATTAATTATTTAATTAACATATAAAATTATATAAAAAAATATTTTAATAAATTACTCCTCAATCATTTTCTTTCTTAAACATGATTGGTGGATTCCAATTAAAACTAAACAAAAACTTTTCTTTTCCCTAATAGCCCTTTATTCAACTTTAAATTTACAAAATACACCGTTATCCCCTTCTTCCTTAATTTCCATTATGGTAAGAAATCCCCATTTTTTGATTGTTAATTTTGCAAACCCACAAACAAATTTATACCAAAATAAAATTTTAGAACCTAAATCATGTATCAAAAATTAACCATTTTTTATATATCCTTAATCCATAAAAGGATCAGGGATGAATAAAGTAAAGTACTTGGAAGTACAACATTGGATCAGATACTCACTTTTTAAATGGACAGATACTCACTAATATTCTTAGAAAAGAAACACTTATTGAATCAGGATAAACTTACTTTTGAAGTTGTGTAAAAAAATTCATAAAAAATTTATAAAAGAAACTTTTTAAATCTTTTGGTGGCAGTGGTCTTATTTCTTTGAATCCCACTGGTAAGGCAATCTTGCGGCAAGAATTCTGTAAAACAAATTAAAAACAAGCATACATACAATCAGGTCGAGTTCAAAATAAATAAATATATAAATAAAAGATTCAAAGATGTCAAGAGCAATTTTACAGGTGTAGAATTTTGCAGCATGGACCAAGCCCCAGATAGACAACACCAGAGAACTCGAAAGGGCTCCATAGATCTCGATCCGACCATGGATTACACCGATTTAGTACCTGGTTTGATCTCAGGTGGGTAGAGGCAACAAAGTGACTGTCGGCTATTTTTTTCCCCGATAAAAAAAAAAAAAAAGATATTCTATTACTTAATAATGTCATCATATTTAATTATAAATATTTAATATATATGTGATATAATATGAATTTTAATTTTATTAAATTTATTATTTAATTATTATTAAATATTTTAATATTTTTAATGTTGCACCATTTTTTTCTTCATTTTATTCTGTTATTTCATTTATTCTTTTATATTTATTTATCTTTTATTTCGATTATCACAAAATAGATAATCCATGTCAGCAGATGGGTGTCCAAGTCATTGACTGAGTTCCAGGTAAGTAAAAAGAAACCGGTTTAACGGCATGCACGTGACTTTTGTCGTGAAATTTTGGGTTTTTATTGAACTTTGAAAAGTAAAGGCCGTTGGCGGGAGAAAAAATTATTGAGGATGTTTATTGTAAAAAAATAATATAAATAATGTAAATAAGGAGTTTAATTTTTTTTTTTTTAAGAAAAAGAATTTTATTCGTTAGAGACCACCTTTAGAGTCCAAACAATAGAGGCAGTTGCCTGGCAAAAAAATGTAAAAAACTAAAAATAAAAAGGGAGGCAGTTTTTATTACATCATCTCAAATGTTTTTGTCTTGATGCTCTATAGCATTGGCTTCTAATTTTGAAGTTTCTCCTTGCAAGCTAATGGTCTTAAAATTAAGCTTAAAGTTTGAACTGGGATGATTTTGTTAAGAGAGAAATCCTAATGGCAAGGTAATTCAGCAGAAAGAAGAAGCCTGATGACAACCTAGCAACTGATTTTTGTTAATTTAGATTCAAACATTTTCTTGAAAATCCTTTTAGGCGAGTTAACAGGTCGGATGTTCAAATTGCAGATTATAACGCAAAACCAGCTAGTGGTCGGAAGAGAGGGCAACCTGCTGGAATGGATGAGGACTAGCCTTTGCACTGAAATCATTCAGTTATCTTTATGTTGTATCTCACTGTGCTGGCTTCGGAACTTGTTTAGGCATCTCTCGTTTTCTTTTGGATACCGAAAAAAACCTTGGCTTGGAAAATTTTGTTTCTTATTTTAAAAAGAAAAATGGTCTTGTACTTTCTTCTACCGTTACTTAAATCTCTTCAATGCCTGTAACCTCTTCTTGTTTAACTTAAAAAGAATTGAGGAGGAAAAGAATGAAAGAATGTAGCTATTCTGAGTATACTTACAGGGTGAATTTTTTTGGTTCGGTTAAAAATGTTAAGCAGGGAACAAATGGGAGATTACCTTTTCAACCCAAACTGCAGAGACGAAAAAGGTCCAAATATGAAGAAAAAATACAAATCCAAACAAAACAAGTAGGCTAGTCTACTGCTGGAGTCTTCTTTCTTCCTTCTTTACTTATTCGAAATGGCTCTTCTTTCCTTCTCCCTTACAAAACAAAGCATGGTCAAGGCTTCTGCATCTCCAACTACTACCCTTTCTGTTCCAGAGACTCTTGATGAGCAATTTGGCATCGAATTCATGGCAACCAATAACATCCCATTTGTTGAGCTGACAGCCGGAAATGGAAGCTTACTCAGGCCGGGCATGCCTGATGCTCATGTCACTTCATACAAGCCATAAAGTATCCTGGAAAGAAGACGCATTCGAGGAGGTTCCTTTCACAATTCCTGCTGATGGAGCAGACTAAACCAAGACCAAAGGAAATTCTAAGTGATTTCTGGTTTCTTAAAGTTAACTATTCTTTTATGAATATCTAATTGGTGGAAAGGAAAATCCAGAGAAAAGATGTCTCTTTTTTTTTTTTTTTTTGTGAGAAAAAGATGTCTCATTTGATATTTGATGCTTTCTTTCAGGTTGGCCTGAGCTGGACTGTTGGAACTCTAGGTATAAATTATATCATTTCCCTCAATCCATTGAGCATGGCAACAGCTGTCATAGTGAAAAACAATGGCAGGAAAGATATGACAATAACTAGTGCACTATTTAGCAATGTGAAGTTCAAGAAAAGGGGAGGGACAGCAGTCCAAGGACTTGGAGGCTGCTCGTATTGCACACACCCTCCTCTATCTTCTTTCGAGCTCTTATCTCCATCTGAAGCAATGCAATCTCAACCTGGAGGATGGTTTGGTTTCCATAGCGAAGAGAAA